GCCTTGTTTCTCAGTTTCAGATTCTTTTATTTAGCATTCTTATTGCTTCATCTTACTCACGACAACTCCCCCAAAGAACAGTCAGTAAGGGAAAGCAGTTTACAAACAAGCAAACCTTAGTCTGTTAGAACAGTCAGAGCTAAACTAGCATTAGAACCCACCAAAAGGCAAACACAGTTGGGTCAGGACTTCCCTATACCATCAGAATCCAGACATTTAGCTGTAGGATTGCCAAACAAATAGACTTGGGTGGGGAAGTGTGAAAAGCCAGTTTGATAAATTAGGCCACGCTAAAAATTCCCCCCTCTACCTCCCATATCCCACTAGAATATGAGGGATATTGCAGATCCTGCTCTAAGTAGGACTACAGAGCCAGTTTGGTTTCTTTCTTCACCCATCACCAAGAAGACTCCATCAGATCTGGCCCTAAACCAAATGGTGCCCCACACAAACAGCGTTTTCATCTCGCCCCTCATTTATTAAACTTTTGAATACTTAATTTTTTTATTGCATTTGTAGCCCATTTCACAACTTAGATGCATGAGTTACCCCTGTCATATAAGATGATACATTTGCACGCTAGGATCTGTAAATCTGTATTTATTCATGCTATATATAAGCAAATAAAAAAAACTGTTTCCTCTAAGCTTACAGACCTTTTAATTTTAAGGATAACTGAAATGTACTAACATCAGTACCTGAAAGATTTTTACCTCAAACATTTTATTTTCCCTTTTGTTGCTAACAACAAAAAGAGCACCCTGAGCCTGGCACCCCCCAAACCTGGCACCCCAGGCAATCGCCTAAGTCGCCTGGCCCTGGACTCCATGGGCTAGGAGATGGCATCCAGGTTGATTGCTTGCCTGCTAAGGGGGGTTGCAAACTGTCCCTGATACAAGAGGATTAGCTAGGGTTTTATTGGATCTGGAATCTTTCTGACAGGGCTTCATAAATTTCACCGGTCTCTGAAAACAGAGGCCCCACTTGTATCATAAATATTTTCTAGGGGAACAGATGAATGGCTAATAATGATTCTGGCAGGAAGAGGAATATTGTTATGTAACTTAACTGAAATTTGCTAGCAAAATTCTAGACTGCTTACCTGTATTAATTTCTCAGATCTTAAGATACAGAAGAAACAGTGTGGAGCAGTTAAGCATATGCCCAGCTGCTTTTGGATTAGTAAAGTTAATGACTAAACACTTTAAAATGTGATTACTGCATCATTATACGGTGCAAAATATTTTTTAGTTAATGCAAAATGCATATCTGAAATTTAACAACTCTGCACTGTGGATAAATATGGCATCTCACTCACTTTACCGCTTCTCTCGTTTGCGGGAAGTAGGTGTGTGATAGCACCCCCCTGGCTTTGCACGCTGCCTGCCCCAGGCCCAGGGCTTCAGCTTCTGGTCCGCATGCAGGGTCCTGGCTGCTGGCCCTGTGTCTGGGGTTCTGCTTTTGGCCCCAGGGTCCCAGCTGCCAGCCCCGTGCCTGGGGCTCCACCCCCGCGCCCAGCTGTGGCCCCAGCCTCAGCCCCCTTACCCCTGTCTGCACCTGCCCCACCCTGAAGCCATGGCCCTGCTCCTGGCACCAGCTCTAGGGGGCAGTGAGGGGCATGGGCACGGGGGGCACAGCTCAGCACCCCACTCGAAAAACTGTTCCAGCGCCACTGCTTGTTTTTTTTTTTAAAGATTAGAATCCATCAGGAACCCAGAGGATATGTAAAAATCTATGGGTTAGATTGGCACAATGTCCTGGGTGCTTCCCTCCTTGCTCAGGGGTGGCGAAGGAGGGTTAGTGTGGTGGTAATTTTCTGCTGGCCTATACTGGCAGCAAATTGCTCTCCCATTCTAACCCTAACTCGGCTCTCCTCCAGCACACCAGTCGGCAGGAGGCAAAGCCCAGGATCTCACTCCCCTCTTTCAAAGGAGGGAGAAGCACCTGCATACCACTCTACAACTGGACCCAAGAACCAGGGGGCTTGCACAGGGATATTATGGGAATTTTAAACTCCATCTAATGCTCCTGCATGGGCATACAGGTCAAGGGATGATTGGGCCCAAAATGTATAGACTGATATTTTTAATATATATTATTAGAATATTCAAAATGTAGGGCTGGAAGGGACTTCAAGAATTCATCTAGTCCAGCCCCCTGCACTGAGGCAGGATGAAGTATACCTACATCATCCCAGCTGATGTTTATTAAGCTGGTATCTATCTGTATAAACAAAATACACTCATTTAATCCAGTGCTTGGAGTATATGGTGGGATGCAATAAAATCCAGAAAATAGAATTTTAGAATAGTCATCTCGTACAGTAGCTCTGTATAGTGTTAGAGGATTACTATTGAACCTTGTTGCAGAGGAACTTAGAGTCCACACTTTCTTAGATCTCAACTATAATCCAGATCTTTGCTGGGCCTTTACTCTTGTTGGTATAGAAGCTGGGGAGAGACCATAGCTGAACACTTGATGCCATTTCTTTAAGTTGCCACTTGCCCTGTTTCAGACTCGGGATATGATTCTCAATTCCCCACTTCCACATTAGCAGGGGTCCCAAAAATTAGAGACTAGCTTGGGAGTGCTACTTAGCAGAGGCACTGACTCTGTGTGGGTGCTCCAGGCCTGGAGGACCCATGGGGAAAAAAATAGTGGGTACTGAGCACCCGTTCCCTACACCCGCTGTTCACCTGATGTGTGTGTGGGGTGCCGCTGCTGTGGCCCAACAGCTGGGGGGGAGGGGGGCTGTGTTGCTGCCAAACAGCTGACAGGGGGCGGTGCTGCCGCCAAAGTGAAATGCAGAGAGCAGCGGGTGGGCGGGAGCCTCAGGGAGGGGTGGAGTGGGGGCAAGAAGAGGTAGAGCAAGCATGGGGCCTTGGGGAAGGGGGTGGAGTGGGGGCAGGGCCTTGGGCGAAGTGGGGGTTGAGCACCCCTGGGGAAAAGGAAAAGTTGGTGTCTATGCTACTTAGGCAGCTTCCACACAGCTTGTCCACTTGTTGGTGCCTCACATCAAACAGAATAGGAAGCCATTAGGTGACTGGAGGAGTATGCCACCTGGTACAATTACCTGCTTGTGGCTCAGATCCCCACCTGCTCATGTGCTAGATAGAGACGAGTGGGCCCATCAGAGGTAATGAAAAATAGTCTACCTGTGACAGGGGAAAGAGACAGGGAGAGCTGCAGAAAGATGTCAGCGGAGGGAGTGGGAGCAAATAAGGGTAAGGACTTGTGAAAGTTACAGGAGGGACGGAGACAGAAGATCTAAGAGGTATAGACGGTGAACCTTACTGCAGTACCTGGGGGAAAGAGTTGAAAAAATCATTACTGCAAAGACCTTTGTTCCCTGTAACATGATAGGAACAAAGCAGCGTGGCAGCACTAAGGATACATAATGTGTCTCAAGTTAGTTAGGATGCTTTGAAAGAGTTAAACTAATAGGTAAATGAAACCCCAATGATATAATTTGATCAGAGACTTTGTCAAAAGCCTTTTCACAAAGTCCCTCACAAGAATCTATTAAAGAAACTTGGTAACTATGGCATGAAAGGTAAAATTATAAAGTGTTAAAAACTGATTACATGTATGACTAAATGGCCAATTCCAAGTATGGAAAAGGGTTAGTAGTGAACTGCCCCAGGGATCAGTTGTCTTCAACAGGGAGTTCTATGTACAAAAGTGCTTGCAGGATATGGCTTTATTACTGCCAAACAAGGTCACGGACAGGATCATGAAAACAGATGGAATACAATTTCTCATGTGTTTAGAATGGATAAGGCCAGAAGCAAAATGAATACAACTAAAAAGTATTTCAAGGACCAGCATTAGGAGCTGAAGGAGAGACCTGTGAACTGTAGGTAATCTTTTCAGAAAATCTTGGAAGTAAACTAGTGCCTGAAGAGGTAGTGTACAAAGAGGTAATTTGTTTCAAAGATAATTTATTATGCTGCAATGGTATGGGAAGGGTGCCCTGCCACAATTGTTTGGGAAGGCTTTAATGCCAACATGAAGAGACATTAAAAATACAGAGGATAAATTCAACAAACTGGATGTCATAGGGCTTGCAAAGAAGAAAAGCAAAACCTGACAAAGGAAATACTGAAATAGTGTTGATGAATGAATTCATCAATTCGTAAATGAATTATGATTTGGCCATATGCTAGTGCTAGAATTAAAGGCATGAAAAAAAGCAGTATGAAACAGGTTTCCTATGGACAAATACAGTGATGATTTTGGGCTCTGATTCTGCATCTGAATCTTAGGTTTGGCCCTTGTGCCACTGCAGTCTCATGATGCATCACAAATTTACAATGTAGTTGGATACAATCAATATGTAGGCAAGATTGGGAGGAGGGTAGTGTTGTAACATATTACTATAAATATCTACAAGCACTGAAGAGTGGAAGGTGTAAATAGCAAAATCTATTAAAAGGATTTTAATTTATGATTCTATTAATGGCAGTTGTAGTTCATTATTGTGGTAATGGTAGGTATAAATGCAGACACATAAGAGACAGTCTCTGCCCTATTGGGATCACAGTCTTAGTGCTGTGCAAACAAACACTCTCCATTTCCTATTGTAGCTGCTTTGGAACTGCTTTTCAAACACTCCAATAGAAACCTTTCTTGTATAATAAGAAACAGTCCATCCTGTCCTCCAGTTGGAGAGAGACTAGAAAATGGGGATGTGGAATGATGGGAGTTTTCCAGAAGCATTTGATGCCTTCTCTCACAATTCCCATGGACTTCCCTAAGGTCTTCCTGGAAGCCAGAGGGCTGGAAACTGTGGGAATAAGACAACCAGAGAGCAGTGCAACTGTAACAGTGGAGTACAGCACAAAGTAAGTGTGCACATCTATGCAGGAAGTCAAATGAAATTCCAGTTATGGAGAATATATCAGGAATGTTAAAAGTTAAAAAAAAATCTTGTAAGGAGGGGAGAATGTCAATGTCATTCAGTCTGCATATTGCTGCTATTTGAGGTCACAGTGACTCACAATTTCCCACAATGGTTCTCATGGAGACTAGTGTTCTTCATCCATCTGGGTGAGCATCCTCAAAGAAAAGAATGGAGACTTTTCAGTCTTTCCTGTCAACCTCTGCTACATCTCTGAGGTGAAAAGTAAAGTTACAGACCACTGGCAGCTCTATCAACTGCTACAGATGGACCCTGGAAGATGAAATCCTTCTGCTACACACGCATAGTCCTGGTTTTGTGGGTAGCAGATCTCCTATCAAGCACGTGACTTTGCCTGACGAGCAAGTGGGTGAGGTCCAGCTGTCTTGGAAGCAGTTCTTAGCTAATCACTCAAAAAGGGAGCTCTGACACCACAGGAGCTGTAAAGGCTTCCTGGGGCTGGGCTGGGGCTTTGCTGCCCTTTAGAAGAGGCAGAAGGCTGCTCTCTATGGAGGCACTGCCAGCAAAGGGCCAAGGTCCCTTTCACCATCTAGAAGGGGCCTGGAGCGGCATCGCCGGCCTCTCCGGGGCCACGGGCCGTGGGGCTGCGTGTGTCTAAGGGCCCTTCCGCAGCCTGCCGGAGGCCCTAGGCTCTGGGGTGGGTGTCGCTCAGCCCCTCCCGATCTCTGGGGCGCAAGCACTGCGGTGGCCACTCCAACCCCGCGAAGCACGGAGGGCGGTGACAGGGCGGGTACGCGGCCTCACCCCACGCTCCCTAAAGCGCGCATGCCCACTTCCCAGCAAGGATCACATCACTCCCCCCCCTATTACCACTGCGCATGCGCATACCGACGTAACGCGTCCACTTCTAGTCTCAGACTAATGAATTATAATACACATGCGAGAGGAGCAAAGGCTCGGGGGAGGCTGTTCCTTTGCAGTTTCATCCGGGGATATTGATCTCGGCTAGAGCATGCGCATTACTTCCTTAACAGATGTCTTTCTCCGCCCCCGCCTTGCGTGAGCGCATGCGCATGGGTACTACACAGCGTGTGGGGCGGCCGCTATGCCTTCTGGGAGTTGTAGTCCGGAAAGGCCCATTGAATTGGCGGTCGCTGCAGTGGAAGCGCTCCCGTGGCTAGTCCATCCCCTGTGGGCGGGGTGAGTGTGCAGTGTGGCCCTATGGCGGCATGGGTGAGAGGTCAGGGGCTTGCAGAGCCGGCCAATGGGAGGATCGTGTCTGGAGGGGGCGGAGCTCGCTGTGTTTTGTTCAATTGCCATTGAGGAGCGTTGTTCACATATGCGGAGGGAGGCGGCCCGCGCTGGCCTTGGAGGGCAGGTACCTGGTGGGGGCAGCGGGGCCGGGCACGGGGAATGAGCGTGAGCCCGGGAGGCAGAGCGGCGGGACAGGTATCGGCGTCGGTACTAGCCGGGGAGGGAATGGGGCTAAGGACAAGGGGGGGCAAGTACAGATACGGGGTGGGGAGGGTCTCAGGTACTAGCTGTGGTGGGGGGAGGTACTGGGCGCAGGTAGCTGCGGGGCCGGGCACAGGTCCCTGGGCGGGGTGTGTGTGTATGTGGGGGGGGAGCTGCGGGGCCGGGCACAGGTCCCTGGGCGGGGTGTGTGTGTGTCTGTGTGGGGGGGGGAAAAGCTGCGGGGTCGGGCACAGGTCCCTGGGCGGTGGGGGGGGGGGGGGCAGGGGCGAGCTGCGGGGCCGGGCACAGGTCCCTGGGCGGTGTGTGTGTGTGGGGGGGGAGGTGCGGGGCCGGGCACAGGTCCCTGGGCGGTGTGTGTGTGTGTGTGTTGGGGGGGGGGGAAAGGTGCGGGGCCGGGCACAGGTCCTTGGGCGGGGTGTGTGGGGGGGGGGCAGGGGCGAGCTGCGGGGCCGGGCACAGGTCCCTGGGCGGTGTGTGTGTGTTGGGGGGGGGAGGTGCGGGGCCGGGCACAGGTCCCTGGGCGGGGTGTGTGGGGGGGGGGGCAGGGGCGAGCTGCGGGGCCGGGCATCAGGTCCCTGGGCGGGGTGTGTGTGGGGGGCAGGGGCGAGCTGCGGGGCCGGGCACAGGTCCCTGGGCGGTGTGTGTGTGTTGGGGGGGGGGGTGCGGGGGCTGGGCACAGGTCCCTGGGCGGGGTGTGTGTGTGTGTTGGGGGGGGAAAGGTGCGGGGCTGGGCACAGGTCCCTGGGCGGGGTGTGTGTGTGTGCTGGGGGGGAAAGGTGCAGGGCCGGGCACAGGTCCCTGGGCGGTGTGTGGGGGGGGGGCAGAGGGGAAAGGTGCAGGGCCGGGCACAGGTCCCTGGGCGGTGTGTGTGTGTGGGGGGGGCAGGGGCGAGCTGCGGGGCCAGGCACAGGTCCCTGGGCGGTGTGTGTTGGGGGGGGGAAAGGTGCGGGGCTGGGCACGGGTCCCTGGGCGGGGTGTGTGTGTGTGCTGGGGGGAAAGCTGCGGGGCCGGGCACAGGTCCCTGGGCGGTGTGTGTGGGGGGGGCAGGGGCGAGCTGCGGGGCCGGGCACAGGTCCCTGGGCGGTGTGTGTGTGTTGGGGGGGAGGTGCGGGGGTGGGCACAGGTCCCTGGGCGGTGTGTGTGTGTGTGTGTGTGTTGGGGGGGGGAAAGGTGCGGGGCCGGGCACAGGTCCTTGGGCGGGGTGTGTGGGGGGGGGCAGGGGCGAGCTGCGGGGCCGGGCACAGGTCCCTGGGCGGGGTGTGTGGGGGGGCAGGGGCGAGCTGCAGGGCCGAGCACAGGTCCCTGGGCGGGGTGTGTGGGGGGGGCAGGGGCGAGCTGCGGGGCCGGGCACAGGTCCCTGGGCGGGGTGTGGGGGGGGGCAGGGGCGAGCTGCGGGGCCGGGCACAGGTCCCTGGGCGGGGTGTGTGTGGGGGGGGCAGGGGCGAGCTGCGGGGCCGGGCACACGTCCCTGGGCGGGGTGTGTGTGTGTGGGGGGTGAGCTGCGGGGCCGGGCACAGGTCCCTGGGTGCTGTGTGTGTGTGTGGGGGGTGTGAGCTGCGGGGCCGGGCACAGGTCCCTGGGCGGGGTGTGTGTGTGGGGGGTGTGAGCTGCGGGGCCGGGCACAGGTCCCTGGGCGGGGTGTGTGTGTGGGGGGTGTGAGCTGCGGGGCCGGGCACAGGTCCCTGGGCGGGGTGTGGGGGGGGGCACAGGGGCGAGCTGTGCGGCCGGGCACAGGCCCCTGGGCGGGGTGTGTGTGTGGGGGGGGGCAGGGGTGAGCTGCGGGGCCGGGCACAGGTCCCTGGGCCGTGGAGGTGGCAGGGCACGTGTGTGTGTGTTTGGGCGGGCAGCTAGCGGGGCACAGGTACAGGTACTGGCTGTATATGGAGTAACTTGCGGGGTTGAGCACATGTACTGGTGCGGAGTGGGGGGTTGTTAGCCAGGCCTGCACAGGTACCAGCTGGCCCTGTGTGTGTGGTGCTGACAGGGGCAAGGGTCTAGCACAATTACAAGCGTGGGGAACAGGCAGGCAGCGGGGCTGGGCACCGGTACTGGCTGTTTGGGGGATCAGCTGGGGGAGTGGCCACTCAGATATCTTTCACAAGGGGTAATGGAGGGGCTGGGCATGGCTTTGTGGGCACAATAGCTTGGGTATTGTCTGATGGGCACCGAGGTCAGGGTAGCAAGGCACCTACTTGGTCCCTCTGCCTTAGTGGATCTCTCTTGCGGAGAGCATACGAGTGCTGGGCGAAAGGACTGGCCAGAGGGGCCTATTCTGTTGTTTGGAAGGAGGGGTGCTCTGTACCCATGCGATCCCAAGTGTGAGAGGGGAAGGAGGGACTTGTGTAGTGCTGATATATAGGATAGGGGGTGGGAATGTGTGTATGTACTCTGAAGGGTGGCATAGTGCTTGTGTGGAAGTGGGGGAGATCATCTATTACCTGTGTTAATGGTTTTCTGTTACTGTATATACTGAGCACTACTTGCTTGGGGAGGTGTGATTCCTCACTCATGGCTGTAAATTGGTGACAATATTTATAAGGGAGTTGTATTTAACATAATAACCTCTTGTCTCTATTAACAAGTTTTAGTCATAGTAATTTTTAATATTTATATTTGGTGACAGGTAATGCAGGCTCATAATAAATGTTCGCTCCCCACCACCCTTTCAGCTGTTTACATTTGTTTTCTAGTTGGAGTGGAAACAAACTTGTTTTTGGCAGAATAAAAATGTAGTAACATCAATAATTGCTGCTTAGATTAAAATTAGGTTTTATGTATTGCACTGTTATAGGTTAGAAGATAAAGCTGCTCCTCTAGGCCAAGAATTCTCTGGCCCGTATGTAAATGCATATATGCATTTGTATATGAATTTTGCAAAGAGAAATTTCTTTGATGTTCATGTAAACACTAGCTCTTAGCACATGATTTTGTATTATGTCATAAAATATACATCCTGAAATATTTTAAGAGCTAAATAATTACTCCTTCAGCAGTTGAGGCATATGCAAAGGAACCAAGTTATGTTAATATAGATACACATCTTCAACAATATCGGCATTAGACTTCTTGCCGTTCATTCCAAAATGTTGGGTTTTTTTATAGCAAATGCCTTTGTGGTTGGTGAACTAATTCTCATGTATGTATAGCTTAAAGCATTTCAAGATCCGTTGGGGTAAAAGATGTGATGCAAGTGTAAGATTATTATGACAAACTCACATTGACTGTAGCTTTTTTTCTAAACAGTGAGGTTTTTTAAGTGCAGTGAAGTTCGTTCTCTGCAATCACCCAAGTGACCAGCAAAAATCAGTTGCCAAGGAGAGGAGATCTTTAAAGGTCAAATAAAATTGTACTGGAAACCTTGCACACTTTAAAGGGGTAACTTTAAGATTAGGGGGAGCTTTTCTGGAGATGGCCTGTATTTTAGTATCATGTATATCTTTTTTTCTAAATCTTGGCTGAGTTCTAAAAATAAACCCTCTTTTTATTTACGTCATATCATATCTTTCCTAACTGTTCTAATAAATAGCTCTTTGAAAAATAGAATGCTTTATAGTAGTAACAGTTCTTTAGGTCCTCTGATGGAGAGGAGCCTGTACTGTTCATGGGAAATCAGAACAGATAGATAACTGTTTTGTTTTTTTAAAATGTGCATGCTGAGTTGTAGGCCTCAGGATGAGTTTAGCCAGCTGGTCAAATCTATTTTCTGGTCCACTGTGCTTTCATTAAAATTAGCTCGTGTGAGCAGTTGTTGCAGGCTTCACTGTTAGATTGCCCTGAATTTTTGTGTTTTGCAGCTTTAAAATGTGATTAATCTTGTACAAATAGCGCAAGTCTTTGAGCGTGTTTGGTAAGTAAAATGTTTTGAAGATGTCTTAATTATACTTCATGTATGTGTGCTGTGAATTGGATTCTCAGTGTTCAGAGCACAAAATTCCAAAAGTCTCCTTAATGAAGCATGGGATTTAATTTAGGATCGTATTAAAAGTTTAAATGATTATTGAAGCTTTTCAGGGATGAGTGCATGATCAAGCCAACGAGGACTTTTTGTTTATCCCTGTACAACTATCCCATTTTTGAATTGGAAAGTAACTTAGAGATTTGCTTATGGGGAGGACATATGCATGGGGCAAAGTGTAGGCATATAACAGCAATTTACAGTCCCCTAAATCTGATTTTTTTTAAATAAAAACTAGTCTGTTTAAAATGACTATTATATATTGGTCTAATTACTTTTAAAATAGGATTGCTGCTGCTTTATATCACATCCCTAGGAAATATTCATCCATGTTTTTTGTCTAAACTGTTTTTTTTTTCTGTTCTGTGTTGTGAAATACAAACTTCTACTCAGCTAGAGTTTTCAGTAGAATATATAAGTGCATTCTGTGTATGAGACATAAACATAAAATATCTGGCTATAATTATTTTGTTAATACTTTGCTCAGTGATGGCTGGGTGAGCCATATGGTGGTAAACTTTTAGAAAATTTTATGTTGGAGTAACCAGACTGTATTCTGTAGGCCTCAATTGCAGAAAACCAGCAGTTTGTGTCTAGCCCAACC